TCTTCCTAGATCATACATTCCTAGAGGGCAAGGAATTGGGCGGGGGTGGGGGGGGGGTGTCTGTATCCATTAGGAGTCTTAGTACAGTGCTGGGCTCAGTAGGGGCTCATTAAACGCCGATTGATGAGCACGTGACTGATTCTCTCCTCAGTTGCTATGTCCACCACAGGGGACAAGATTCTTGATACTGCGCTCTCTAAGGTAACGTATTCCCCCCAATCCCTTTCCCTCCTTTCTCCTTCCTTCCCCCAAAAGATTCACTCTGAGGCTTTTTCTTGACCGGCAGATTGGCGAGAAGAGCCTGTTTACCAAGGAGCTGGAACACGCGCTGGAAAAGAATGAGTATGTGAAAGACGGGAGAGCATGGTTCCGTCCCAGTCTCTCACTGGGACCCCAGTGCACATCAGAGCTGGATATCAGCTAGACTGGGGGGCTTCAACACTTGGCTAGAAGGAGGCTCATATGTGGGTTTTTCAGACCTCACAAAAGGGGAGTGTCCTGGTTCCTAGCCATCTGGCTGCCTGGAGGGCAGGATTGGCTGGGGCATTGGGGACAGGAGGGAGGGTGGGGAGGAACGGGTCTCAGGGTCCTGAGGTTTTAGACGTGCCTGCTTCCTAATGTGCTCTAAGCACACCACTGAAGTAGAGGCAGGTGTAGGTAGAGGAGGGGTGGGGGCCTGCTGCTGGGATCCCTTCTCCTAGCCTCCCTCTCCCGTCTCTTTAGAGTGGACTTAGTCGTTCACTCCCTGAAGGACCTGCCCACTGTGCTTCCTCCTGGCTTCACCATTGGAGCCATCTGCAAGTAAGAACGCTGCGAGTCGGGGGATGGGCAGGCGGGTAGGCATCATGTTGACCTTTGCTTTTCCCTTTGGGACGCTACCCTCTGCCTCTACGGCTGAGGGGTGTCAGGCATGGCCAAAAACAGAACATGCCAGTTAGTTGGCTATCAAGAGACCCTGGAAGTGACCTTAACTGAGATCTCTTTCTCATTCTGTGACTTTTCCTCCATCTCCAGGCGGGAGAACCCCTATGATGCCGTTGTCTTTCACCCAAAATTTGCTGGGAAGACCCTAGAAACCTTGCCAGAGAAGAGGTGAGTGGGGCCCAGATAGACATCCCGGTGGGACATGCACAGAAGACAGAGGGCTAAGAGGAGGAGGAAAGGAACCATGCCTTTCTTGGGTTAAATCTTATTTTACACCCTCTCTCTGAACAGTGTGGTGGGAACCAGCTCCCTGCGGAGGGCGGCCCAGCTGCAGAGAAAGTTCCCACACCTGGAGTTCAAGAGCATTGTATCCTTTCAGAGGAGGGAGGGGGCAGTAGCCAGGGAGGAAGATGAGGTCCATGGGGCCACTTTCAGAGGAAGTGGACCATGGACCAGCAGGTCTGTCCTCCACTGTCTGCTCTATTTGTCCATCTACCCATCCATCCATCCATCCATCCATCCATCCATCCATCCATCCCTAATCCTTTTATGTTTTCTTAGCCCCAGGCCAGTGCCTGGCACTGGGGATAGTGGTGAGATCAACGATGTCCTTGCTTATAGAGTTATATTTTTGCCTGGAGACAAACAGGCATTGATAATACAGAGTGATACTGAACAGTGATTACTGGGGAACAGGGGAGGTGGAGGGTGCTTCCATTTTTGTTTCATATTGTACTATATTTTGATGTTCTAAATATATCAAATGTTTCATAAAGCTGATTTTCAAAATAGTACATGTTGAGTGCTCCAGTGCATGAAGTAGGGAATTCTCTAGAAGCTTCTAGCTGGAACATCGATAAACACAGACTTGGGGGTCGGGGAATGCTTCCCAGAGATCTTGTAATCTCAGGCAAGTTATTCAACCTGTCTATCATTTTCCTCATCTGTAAAATGGAAGTAATTCTAATACCTACCTCATAGGATTGTGAAAATTAAATAGATGTATGCAAAGCACTTTAGATCAGTGTATGTAGCAATTAAGTGTTAGTAATTAAGTAAACGTTAGGTGTTATCAGTAAGCTGAAAACTAAAGGTGAGATGTTAGTTGGATCCAGAAGGACTCAGGCAGGGGGAGCAGCAGCATGAGGCTCCAAACTGCCCGGCGCTTGTGGTCCTTAGCGTCTCTGCACAGCGGGGAAATCTCAACACACGCCTTCGGAAGCTGGATGAATTTCAGGAGTTCGGTGCCATCATCCTGGCTGCAGCTGGCCTGCAGCGCATGGGCTGGCAGCACCGGGTGGGACAGGTAAGGGGCTGTCCCTTCTCCATCCCCAGTTAATCTTCCCCCTGTTCCTGCCTGTATTCTCTTTCTGAACACCCTGCCTCTAACGGTATGCACTGGAAGTGAGTCCCAGGCTGGGAAGATTGGGGATCAGAGGATAGACCCCCACTTTTGCCTACCTAGGCTTTCTGTGTGGTAGGGAAGCCCCATCTCACTACTGTCTGCTTTTAGTACCCCCAGTTCCACCCTTTTGAGTGCCTATTCTGCCCCTGCAGATACTCCACCCGGAGGAGTGCATGTATGCTGTGGGTCAGGTATGTTTGACCTGGGAAGCCATGTGTTGATGTGCTCTTTTGTTCTCAACCAAAAAGCTGGTCTTGCAACCTTGTGCATAAACATTTCTAGGGAGGGGGAGGGCTTGCGAGATTTCTGGGCTAAAAGAGACCCCAGGGAGCAGGTGGAGGTGGGCTGGTTCCCATGCTCAGCTCCATTGGTTGGGGAAAGATTAGGCCTGATGTCTTAGGCTGTTTTTCCCTCAGGGGGCCCTGGGCGTGGAAGTCCGAGCCAAGGACCAGGACATCCTGGATCTGGTGGGTGTATTGCATGATCCTGAGACCCTGCTGCGCTGCATTGCCGAGCGAGCCTTCCTGAGGCACCTGGTAGGACCTGTGTTCCGGGGATTGGAGGGGTGGGGACTTGAGGAGTTGGGAATAGTCATGGGGGAGATTTCTCAAATTGATGCTCTTTATTTCATGGTAATTCATTCTTGAATGTATAGGCAGGACTGGGCCCCTGCCTGTTTCAGTTATGTCTTCAGAAGTCTATCTCTGAGGGTTCTGGTGACAGAGTCCTTGGAGACACAAGAGTCCTTGGAGTTCACCGGGCAACTTCTCATTGCAGGAAGGAGGCTGCAGTGTGCCAGTGGCCGTGCATACAGCTATGAAGGATGGGCAAGTAAGCACTGTGACATTTGTCCCCGTGCACGTCAAGTTGTCCACAAGAGCCCAGGTTTCTAACCATTTCTCTCAGAATATGCTGAGATAACCGTTTTCTTTCCCAGCTGTACCTGACAGGAGGAGTCTGGAGTCTAGACGGCTCAGATAGCATGCAAGAGACCATGCAGGCCACCATTTGTGTCACTGCCCAGGTGCCAAAGCTGGAGGGTGAGGGAGCGGGTGAGAAACAAACCTGCATGTTACCTCCTCTTTTGTGCTCACCAAATTCCCCCTCCTTCCCTCACTTAGCATGAAGATGGCCCAGAGGATGATCCACAGCTGGTGGGGATCACTGCCCGGAACATTCCACGACAAGCCCAGCTGGCTGCTGAGAACCTGGGCATCAGCCTGGCCAGCTTGTTGCTGAACAAAGGAGCCAAGAACATCCTGGATGTTGCACGACAGCTTAACGATGCCCACTAACTGGTCTGTGGGGCACAAGTGCCTGGGTTGCTATAATGCAGCGCCTGCATCCCAGCCCTAGTGCCCGGGTCTCACTGCTAACTGGGGAGTGATTACCCCAGGGGATTGAACTGCAAGGTCAGAGACTCCCAGGGACTTGCCTCACCTTGGGGCTGTGTGAGTGCCTTGCCTCCTCAGTAGGTGGGGGTTTCATCTCTTTAGAGAAAAAGTTCAAGCCACAGCCTTTGAATGTAACCAACTCAACTAATAAACCAGCTCTGAAGGCGACTTTGCTTTTGGTGGGGTTGCAGTTCAAGGACCAACAGAAAACCTTTTATGCTAGAGGCTGGGACGTCTGTCCAAAGTTCTTCTGGGACATTTTTGGTTTCTGCCACCGTAGTTATTTCAAACAACAAATGGTCTCCCAGGGAACACCAAGAAAGCCGTGATCAGACAAACCTAGGACTTGCCCCTCTCGGGCTAACCCGTGTGTCTATCAGGTGAGCCACGTATCAGATAGCCCCCCTCCCCCACCAGCCCCCACGACCTCAGGAAGATAGGAGTCTACAAAGTCAACCCTACAACTCGTACAGAACGACCACAGACATTGCGTTTTTAAAAAACAATCCTTTAATAAACAAAATTAGTCCATCTGAAACTCCCCAATATGTAAGGTACTAGTCTTGGATGGGTTATAGCTGCAAAATTCCAGTTCCGAAGCTATCGGAGGCTCAGTGCAGACGGGGACTCACGGGCCGGTGCTGGTACGAGGCGCGTGGCCCGGTAGAGTAGTCGCCGGAAGCGAAGTGGGGCGAGCGGCGGAGCCAGAGGGCCCGGCGGCGGTCACACCGCGGGCGCGCGCACACCTCCTGCGGTCCCCACGGCCCGCAAACCCGGGCTCCCCGCCCATTCCCCGCCGCGGGCCGGCCCCCCGGGCGAAGGAGGCGGGAGTCGGGGGGTCTGTCAGGACGAACGGCGATCGGTCTTTCCCGCACCGCGTGCGATAAAGTCCCGGCCCCGGCGCGCGCCTCAGCCCTGCGTCAGAGCTGCGAGCGGCTCTTCCAGAAGGCACCGCGGCCTCACCGCAGCCCACCGGCTGTTCCGGGGCCGGCGCGGCTGAGTCACGGGCGCCGCGGAGGGCAGGTGCGCGCCCCCAGCCCCCTCCCAGCCGCAGTTCTCTGGTCTCTGCGCCAGGCGAGCGGGGCCGCCCCTCGGCCCGAGACACCGAGAGCGAGGACCCGCGAGCCCGCGCGGGGGAGGGGTGGGCCGGGCGGCGGCGGCGACGACAACGCGGGAGGGGGAGCCGAGCGCCGCGGCCTCCCGCCCCGAGCCCGACGTGGCTCAGCTCTTTCCGTGAGGGCTGTGGTGGCCCTTAAAAGGGCCTTTGTGGTGGCATGGGGGGCCGGCTGCGACGCGGGCTCCCCTCAGTACTCCTGAGAGGCCTGGGTGGCCTTCTTGCCGCCCGCCGGCGCCTTCGGCCCCACGGTGGCGCTGGTTTTCTTGGGCAGCAGCACGGCCTGGATGTTGGGCAGGACGCCTCCCTGGGCGATCGTCACGCCGCCCAGCAGCTTGTTGAGCTCCTCGTCGTTGCGGATGGCCAGCTGCAGGTGGCGGGGGATGATCCGCGTCTTCTTGTTGTCGCGGGCCGCGTTGCCCGCCAGCTCCAGGATCTCCGCGGTGAGGTACTCCAGCACGGCCGCCAGGTACACAGGCGCGCCGGCGCCAACCCGTTCGGCGTAGTGGCCCTTCCGCAGCAGCCGGTGCACGCGGCCCACTGGAAACTGGAGGCCGGCGCGCGACGAGCGCGATTTGGCCTTGGCTCGGGCCTTGCCGCCCGTCTTGCCACGGCCCGACATGCTGCGCGAGGTAGAGAAGCGGTGAAGAGGGACGCCTACCAAAAGGCCAACGAACAGCCGCCCGCCGCAGTCCAACTGCTGCCGCGCGCGCCCAGGGGCCGCCCTTATAAGCCCCCAGGGCACACCCCCGCGCCCTCCTGATTGGCCCTTTTCTCTAATACCCGCCTCCGGTTGGTTGCAGTTAACCCTTCAGTGACGTGCCACGACTGAGGGAGCGCGCCCGCCGATTGGTCGAATTTGAAAACCTTTTGCCCGGGGAAAAAGGCGAGGAGGAGTGGTAGCACGCAGCCAGCCAGCCACTCCCTGATGTAGCCAATCTATGTGAAAGGCGCCAGATTTAAACGCTCCAGCTGGAGCCCAGAACCGGAAGACAAAGAGGGTGGAGTCTGAGCCACCTCAAGAGCCTCTGGGAAATCTTTGCGGGCCTAGGAGTTTTCACGGCAAAGGGTCAACACCACCGCCTCCCCTTCCAGGTTTGGTCACCCTCTTTTTTCTCCCTCCTCCCATCCTGCAAAGGTAAAGCTGAAGAGGGAATAAATAAGACGCGCCCGCCACCCCAATTCTATCCCACACCAGAGAGCAGGTAAGTCCAATCTTATGGCCTTTCCTGCTACCTGAAGTAGCGGGACTTCAATATTTATTCAACATATTCTATCCAGTCTCCGTTCTTTGTTCGCTTCCCGATACACTGAAAGAAAAAGGACGGGGCCAAGAGAGAGGCATCCTCTTGAAGGAGGTGCCTCCACCCACCCTCCCAATCTACCCTAAAATGCCCATATAGGAAATACACCTACCGGAACAACAAGAAAAAGACAACACTTTATTGTCACCACTGGAAGCACCTGGCCCCCCAGTCTGCTCTTACTGATCAGAATACTTAATTTATAGTCAGATATCAAGTGATCTTCAAGCCCGTGTCCCTATCCCCAGCCAGGGTTCTATTCTCAGGCCCAACATATTCCTTCAGAGTCAGAGTTGTGGATAACTGCATAAAAGCTGCAGTATCCCACCTTCGGAGGCTGCAAAGACGGGATGGAGAGGGAGAGTGGCAGGTTGAAGGAAGCCATAGCCAAAATCCAATCCACAGTCGTTAGATGTCAATAATCACAGCAGAAAGGAAATGCTAAGTACAAAATCTGGAGGAGAATGAAAGGTGGGAGAGGCCTGGCCAGGAGGCATTTCGCGTCCAGAAAGAGGTGGTGGGCCTGAGTCAGGAACCCTGCAGACCGTGCAGTACAGGGCAATGATCAGGGGACTCAGACATCGTAGAAGAGCCGGACAAGCTGGTACCGAATGGAGAAGGTGACAGCACTGCCGAGGATCTGTGAGGGGAAACACACTAGAGTCAGAACCCTGGAAAAAGGGACACATGGCAGTGTTAAGCCCTTCCCCAACCACACCTGGAGCAGCAGCAGCAGCAAGGTCAGGTTCCTCTCATGCATGGGCCCGAAGACCTTAAGTACCAAGTTGATGAGGGTCATGTTGTTACACTCTGTGAAGGCACCGTCGTCATTCTCATTCTGGTGCACGGTCACTAGCTGGAGACTCTCTGCTACCTGGAAGGATCAGAGGTGGAGAGAATACCAACCATGCTTCAGCAATGGGGATCTGCTTCATGCTTCCAAACTCCCCTTGGATCTGATGCAGGCCTAGGTTCCCCAGTCCCTGAATTCCAGATGGCGGCCTAGAGCCTTACCTCCTTGTTACCCTGTTACCTTTAGAATAAAGGTGCCCAAGAAAGAGAGGCTCTTGGTCTTGAACTTGGAATAGCTCATCTCCAGTTTGCCTGTCTTGGTATTGAGTCTGCAGGGGGAAGAGAGCTTTATGTGACTGGGCCACTACAAGAACTCTCCTCACTGGGGCCAATAGGAAGAGCACTGAATGTGGAAACCAACCTAAGATCTTCTGGCTCTGCTTACTACTGTGTGATCAGAGCTGATCAGATTATGTAGGTAAACGTGCTCTGTAATTTATAAGAGCTAACCACATGGACAGAGTTAGCCCTTCTTTGGGCCCACTCCCTTTGCACAGCATATGTGTAAGGCTGGCTTTTCTGCATCCCGAGTGAAAAAGCTATGATGTCCCTTTCAAGCCCCAAAGTGGCTACCTGGGCATACGGTGGCGAGGGCAGGGTATGATATGCAGGAGCTGAGGCAGTGAGTAGAGGAAGTTGAACACCTGGGGCATGAAGAAGAGTAGCATGGTCTTGCTGAAGTGTCCCAAGATGCCCACCACGGCAAAGGTCATGCCAGCAAAGTAACAGAAGGTATCTCCCACAAACACCCGTGATGGGTACCTGTGTGGGGGAGAGGATCTGAGCCAGGGGCAGGAGGCACTACCAATCTTTTCTCGCACATCACGTACCCTGGGCTAGCCCTGACTCTAGTTCTGGCCCAGAGGAGACTCCAGCGCTTTCAGCAACTGTCCAGAACCCAAAGCCCTGAGTTCATTTCTTTCTGGGGGCTCTGTAGCACTTGTCCGTAACTATGATTGGATAGAGAGTAATTGAAGAATATTACCGACTAAAGACCCGGAAAACACTCACTGCAGGTGTGTACAGGTGTAGCCTCTCCAGTAGGAGGTGGGTCAAGATCAGGACCATACTTGCTACAGATTCAAATAGTTATTACCCCTAGCCGCAGGCCTACTTACCAGTTATGGTAGAGCAATCCCAAAGTGGTGAAAAAAAAGGGTATCATGAAGTAGAGGGAAAAGACATGATCATCCCGATAATCACCTTTGGAAGCAGGGGAAAAAGAAAGCACAAGTTGATAGGTATTTCCCCTGCATACCTTGGTCCTATTTTTGTCTGTCTCTTAAGTTCTGTTCCAAGCTGTATTCTCCACCTCTTCCCAGTCACATTCAAGAACACAGTACCCCTTTTATGTCACCCAGGCAACTCCTAACATTCCACCTTGTTCATGAACCCCTCCTAAATGAGTTACTGTCTTCAATTGGGTTTAGATCATTCACACCGAGGTTTGATATATCAGCTTTACTTCCTAACTGTGTGACTTTGATCATGACCATTTAAATTTTCTAACCCTCAGTTTCCTCAAATGTAAAATACGGTTGAGGAGAATTCGTGCCACATGTTACAAAGCTTAAATGAGATCATGTTTTAAAAATGGTTGGTTTTGGGGCGCCTGGGTGGCTCAGTCAGTTGAGTGTACGACTTCGGCCCAGGTCATGATTTCGTGGTTCACAAGTTTGAGCCCCACATTGGGCTCTGTGCTGACAGCTCACAGCCTGGAGCCTGCTTCAGATTCTGTGTCTCCCTCTCTCTGCCCCTCCCCAGCTTGCACTCTCTGTCTCTCAAAAATAAATAAAAACATTAAAAAAAAAATTTTTTTTAAGTGGTTAGTTTTTTTTTTTTTTTTTAAGTTTATTTATTTTGAGAGAACCAACAGGGAAACAGCAGACAGAAAGGGAGAGAGAGAATCCCAAGTAGGCTCTGCACCATCAGCACAGAGCCTGATGCCAGGCTCCATCCCGTGAACTGTGAGATCATGACCTGAGCCAAAATGGAGTTGGACGCTTAACCTACTGAGCTACCTAGATGCCCCTAAAATTAGTTAGTTTTATTTTTATTTGTTTATTTTTAAACGTTTTTTGAAAGTTTCTTTATTTTGAGAGACAGAGAGAGCGCAAATGGGAGAGGGGCAGAGAGAGAGAGGGAGACACAGAATCAGAAACAGGCCCCAGGCTCCGAGCCATCAGCCCAGAGCCCGACGCGGGGCTCGAACTCACGGACCGCGAGATCGTGACCTGGCTGAAGTCGGACGCTTAACCGACTGCGCCACCCAGGCGCCCCTAAAATTAGTTTTAAAAGGCACTTACTGATCTCCATCAGCCAAAGACCACCAGAAACACACCTGTAGTCAAAGCTGGGTTTACTGACTTGTAATAAGGGAGACACTGGAGACCACACATCACAGGCAACCAGGGGATGCCTCAGTAAGAGGCGCCTATTATAGGATTTAAGTAATTCTGGGCAAAGCAAGGAGGCAGAACTTTGCCCTAGACTGGGTGCTGTCAGTAGAAGTGATTCTGTGATTGAGTATCTTAATTTTATCTAAGAATTAGCAGGAACTGAGTTATCAGAAAGCAGCAGCAACTGCCCATGTTGGCCAGAAGAGGGAGGTCTTAGTCGTTTTTATTAATGCACAGTGTTCTTGCAGTTTGTCTATATTCAAACATGGTTATGGAGGAATCTGGTTTTTGTTTTACTGTGTCATGGTCACAGAGTGACCCTTGTCTGATTCCGAGGTTCTGTGAAATTGCTTACGTTCAATAGGAGAAGACCATAACCTACCTATTAGTGCCAACCCAGCTATAAAGAACGGGGCAGCTATTTTTCTCACATTTAATAAATCTGAATATATTGCTTTTTCCCCTAACCTCCCCAAAGCCAGATATCAGGCAAGTTCCTCAACACTCAGACTTCTCTCCCTACTCCCCAATCCCACCTACCTTCCAGCTCCACCAGATTGAAGACAATGATAGAAGCAGAAATGACTAGCGACTGGCCAGCCTCTAGGCCATTAATTCCTGCTAGGATATTGATGGCATTGGTACAGAACACGGCCAGCAGCCCCATGTAGACGTAGTACAGGATCCCTGGGGGAAGAAGACAGGAGTGTGCCACTCATAGAAATGAGGGTTTAAAGGGATTCTTCAGAGACGAGTGGCGAGGAAAAAGTACAGAAGCAACAGAAAGGATCTGAGACGACACAGGGACAAGACAGGGATACTTAGGGGAGAATCTGGAGCATCAGGAAGGATGCTCTGCTAGGTATCTCCCAGCGTAAGGTGCCCTAAAGTAGAGGCCACAGGGTCAGCAGCGGCAGGGTTACTCACCCAAGTCCAGATGCAGGCCAAGAATCGGACGGAAGGGCTTGGGTACCACAACGGTCGTGTTGCCAAAGTTGGTGAAATAGACCATGAGAAGAGGTAGTGAGGCAGCTGTAGGCAGCAGCAGCTTATGGCGCCAGCGCAGATTCAGTACATCGTCCGCGAAGCCCAGGAAAATCATGCAGCAGATGGCAAGGAGCGCACCTATCAGGGCCACAAACTGGGGGAGGCTCGGGCAGGTCACAGCTCAAGCCTACTCCTACTTCGCCTTTCAAAAATTCCTGTCTTTGCGCTCGTTCCTCAGCCCCTCAACCCAAACCCAAATAACCCCGACTCCCTCAAGTAGCTGCCAGCCCCCAGCCAACAAGCAACCGCCCCCACTCACCCACTTACTTCATGGTGCGGGAAGGCTTTACACTGCTCCTCCACAAAGCAGTTCAGGAAAGGGAAAGGGATGAAGCAGAAGAGGATGATAAGGAAAACAGCACCGCTGATCACTCCCTGGGACTCTGGGCTGTGGCCCAGCAGCAAAAGGGGTGG